AATCCCCCGTACTAGAACCAAGTCCTAGCCGTAGCCAAACAACGACATCTCCAAATTTCCAAAATCAACAAATTGTGCAACAACGTATATATATCAACATGTACATAAAAGATGTCAACTATTTACCAAGCACAATCCAAATTTTGGAAACTTATACAATACATGCTCAAAATTCACAACTACTATGGCATGTAAAATGTCAAATACAAAATGTGCAATTCCTTACACATAGCAACAATATATTCAATAAGGAAAAACATATTCTCATGAATATAAAAGTAACAACTATGTTATCCAATGCTCAAAAGTAATCAAGTGAACTTACATCAAATCCAACTCCATGATTTAAATATAGAAACAACTTCCAAAATGCAATTAAATCCATGGCGTAATAAAGTAGAATATAATTAAACATAAATCGTTAAATTCTCTAAATTCCATGTTAATCCAAATAACCTCAATTTAATATATATTGAAAAACATGTCATGGTCATCATATATATAACATCAAATGACAAGTTAAGTGATTAAAACACTTAAAACAAAATTAATCAAGCTAATTAATTAATTTCCTCTAGATTTTGAAACAATTCCAAATGCCCTCAATTTAATCTATGTTAGAGAACATGCCAAGGCCTATTTAAATATCACATTACAACTTGATTTAATTCTTGATACAACCATGTGAATTAAACTTTCACTAAAGATAAATATTAAATAAAAATTGTAATTCTTAATCAAATGATCTAAATTTAATATATGTTAACCAATATATCTAAGTATAATTTCCTAGCATGTTACAATTCAAATCAAAGTTATACATCATCATAAATTTTAAATCTTATACAAAGAAATAAAAATTACTAACTTTTTAGATTTGATACAAGGCATACATATATGTTGTATAATCATGGCAAACACACAATACAACACACAAATAATCCTAAAACATTCCCTACCTCAATTGGAATGAAAATCCCAATTACCACCGAAATGAAATCGCCCCAAATTTTCGGTCCGCAAAACAGATTTTTCAGCTTGCTACCTTCAACTTGTAAAATTCATAAAAAATTCAATTCTTATCCAAATTGAATAAATCCAAAGCCCAATGAAAGCTTAAACACTGTAATTTGATAATATCAATTTAGTTTAACACAATATTTTCCCAATTGAAACAGTTTTGACCCACAACTTTGAAACAAATTCTGCCCAGAAAACACATTTTCAGCCTGTAGCTTCCAACTTTGAAAATTCATGAAAAATTCATTTGACATCCAAATTGGCCAAACCTAATTTATTTTGGAAGTAAAAATATGAGAGTGTAAAACTGGAAATGTAAGCCATGATCCAATGTCAAAAGGTTAGTGAAATAAATCATCTAAAAATATGTTTTCTAGCTATAATAAAAAAATGGACAATAGATAGTTTTGGATTTTTTAAAAAATTTAGAAATGCTCTAAAATCATGAAAAAATTCTGTCTAGTTTAAAACCCATGGGGGAAGTTTTGGTAAAAATTTCAAGGCAATTGAAGCACCACAGCTCCATATAAAAATTCATTTCCGGACTAAAAAGGGAAAGCTTCAAATTTCCAGCAACTAGCTTGCAACTTCAAAAATTCATAACTAATTCATTTTAAATCTAAATTACATGAAACCAAAACTAAATGAAAGCTAATTGAGTATATTTTCATATTCTATATTTAATTTGATAAGATTAATTTCAAGTTAAAACAGTTTAAGGGCAAAATACAAGTCCTTCTCTTTCATGCATGTAAAACACTCAATAATGACATAAAAATACTTCAAAATAATAGATCAATACCTCACTAGAGAATTGAATCTCTAGATACCAAAGCAAAACTAGGAGTTAGGCTAGATCCTTCAAGGGTTTCGAAGAGGAGGAAGAGGGGAACAAAAAGTATTTCAAGCTTTATGGTCTAAAGTAAGTGGAAGGGCCTCAAAGATCAAGGTCAATGCCTAAGGCTTCAAACTCCATCCATGGAGGCTAGGGTTTTCTTGTAAGGAAGAGAATGAAATAATGTGGTTAAGTGTGAATGGAGGAAATAGAAATCTTCTACTCACTATGTGCTCTTACACCATGGTGAACATACATATCTATGGTCAATTACACAAAAACCCTCCTTTAAAACCATAATCCCAAAGTGGCCCAAAGATATTTGTAAGACTAAATTGTGAACCTACACTTGTCACCAATCCATGGCTCCTTCCTAGGCTTAATCCCACACCTACACTTGTCAACCATCCAAGCCAACAAGTGCACCAATCCTAGGCCAACAAGTGGGTGAATCCTCACCTTCCAAATGTCATCATCCAATGCATTAAAGTGTTTCCACATGAATGTCAACAAGTGGACCAATGAGAGTGTGACACTTGTCATACTTTTCAAAAATTGCAAAAGGTCCTTTTTGAAAATATATTTTCCAAATTTAATTACAAAATGGTCCCCAAGATGAAAAATAATTACTTTATTTAATTACACTAAAACCCCACAAGTTAAGAATAATTACACTAAAGTATGCATTAATGCCCCTTTATGAAAGAAGTAAGCAATCAACATGCTTTTCAAGAAAAGTAAAAATACCACTATCTTGGAAATCAAATATCATGAATGCATGCAAAACCAGAATAAAATCCGAGCACAAAAAGTGTGGTTATGCAAGGAAAAAGGATAAAGGAGAAAAAGACAAAATGTGAATAGTGTTCGGAAAAATAAAATATGGAAATGACACAATCCCCAAAGGAAGTTGTCAATCCAAGGAAAAGAGTCTCGAAAATCATTCCAGAGCACTCGAGATGACATCAAGTGATGAAAAACCAAACCCAAAAAGGAAAAGACAACGGAAAAAAAATATCAGTTAAAATCTGAGAAAAAGTAAAGGAGGAAAAATGACCGGGTCATTACATGAGCACTCAAGAAAATAAAGGAAGTGCAAACATGGCAATAACGATGAAATGGTGATGAAGAACACTTTTTATATCCTTCTACCATATCATGGTAATTCCTGGAACCCTTGTTGCTCAAATGTAGAATTCATGTTTCGCATTTGGATCATTGGTGAGAAATTTGTGTCACGTACAACATCTACATCAACTCACTTTTTATATCACATGCATGAAAAAACGGCTTGTTAAATTTCTTTATTAATTTCATGGCTTTAATTCATTTAGATGACATCACATACCTGGTTATTTAATGGAGTCATTGGCTGACCAAAATAACTAGCCGGACTGTTATCCCAATCGTGGCCCTGTGTTGAACATGTTGGCATATAACATTCATCGGAGTAGAAAAACTCTACTGGTATTTTAGCACCCTTCACCAAAAATCATCAATTCATCAGTACGTTAGACTATACATCGGGTAGGGGATATATAAAACACAAAACAAGACTCACATTGTTTAAAATATACGCAGGGGTTGTCGTAGTATAACTGCGACCTGGCGCAACGGCCTTTCTCTTCTTTGTAGTGGCTCTCTCCAAAGCAGGTATCAACCTACGCCTTCTTCCTTTCACTATATCTTTCATGGCAATCCCTTTTGGAGTCAATCCTTTCATGGTTTGCGCCTGACTATTCAACTCGGTATTTATAATGTTGTTTCCCATACCATTGGCTTGTGTGGTTTGTCTACCTGCAAGCCTGGGATTAGGTTCTGCTCTTTGAGCAATCTTCTTCAAACTTTTCACTTGTACCAAAACATTGTTGAATCCCTCCTCACTCACTGATGCAATGGCAGAAATTTCAGCTAGATAACATCGCTGCCATGTATATCTTCCACTATTCCGTCCTTGCCATTTCTGGTCCACCTTTTTAAAATATAGTAGCTGGGTATTTCATTGGCACACATCACATCTTTATGGACTTTCAGAGTGTGGTTGCACATGATACCCTCCATTTCAAATTTTTCACATGAACATGATAATAAGTCATCATGTGTCCTTGTGACGAGCCGATGGAAGTTATCATTATAAACCACAGTTTCATATGAAAAAACCCCGTTACCATGGTCGTTGTACTTACGGACATTTTAACTCATGCCAGCTACTATTAACTATTTCTGGAAAAAGGTCAATGTATAGACGTCCAACTTGATCTAAAATAGGAGACCTCGCTTTCAGCTTGGGCATCTTATAGAGCAAGTCATACTTAGCTGCATACTCCTTGTATCGCTTATCGAACAAAAGTGTTTCAAAATGCTTGAAAAACTCTGGCAGTGCATATTGTCTGGCTAAGTACTGTTTTAAGCGAGCATTGAAGCTCTCACTAAGCTGTGTAGTATGCATACCAGCCGACCGCACATGTTTAACATATGCCTTAGCCCATACATGTTTCAAACCAAACAAGTTGGCTAACCAGTTGTTATTCTCTACAGTAAATTCTTTTTCCATCCACGCCCATTCCTCCAAGAATTCTTCCTCACCCTCAATCTCATACATTAATTTTGATATCACACTTTTTATGCCTTTCCCACCAACAGACAAATTCCCAAGATGCTTTTGGGAATTTTGCATTAGGTTCCATGTATATCGAAGGTGTTTTCTATTGGGCATGACCTGGACTAATGCCTTTGGCATTGCAGCGTCTTGGTTGGTCAAGATCGTCTTTGATGCTTTATGAAACATGGCATTCAAAAATGTATTAAATAACCAACCGAAAGAATCAGTTGTCTTATCATATATGAAAGATACTCCAAACACAACTGTCTCCCGATGATGGTTCAAATCGAGAAAAACTACAAAAGGCCGATTCCCATGAACAAGTTTGTACGTGGAATCAAATGTCACCATATCTCCAAAATACCCATAATCTAATATCATTTTTGAATCAGCCCAAAATATATTTGTTATTATTGCACCGCTATCCAATTGCACGTCATAGAAGAATGATGGATCTTCCAAACATTGTGTCTAGAAAAAATTCATCAGCCAATTCGCATCACCAAGTTCAAAGTCATTCTGTCTTCTCGTCCGAATATAATCTTATACATCAGCCTTAGTGAAGCCGATACTTTCTCTACCACCAGCTTGCCTTGAACTTAATTCAAAGGCTTTACGAATGGGTATTCCACAATCAGCAACCAATTCCATATCAATAGCTTGCACTGACTTGATTTTTCGCTGTGACGGCATCATGTGGGCACATTCCTCACTGATGAGATGATGGTTATGAGTATCTTTAAAATCTTTGACAATGTACTTACCAAATTCCACATTAAAGGCAATAAGCATGCGTGCATGACAATCGGTGCGTGTTTTAGCCCTTCAATTCTTTATTTTCCCATCCCTCTTGTCCTCACCTCTTTTTCCCTCCTTGCTACACACAAAAATTCTAGATGTTCCTTTTCCATCTTTCCGACTATTGTTTTTGTACTCTCTCTGAATATTAAAACCCACTTTGCCACCATATTCATTGTAAAAATCATAAGCCGCTTCTTCGGAATCAAACTGCATGTCAATGCAGGGTATCCATTCTACTTCAGGAATTTCGCAGACTGAATCGCTATCCGTTACTTCAATATTAATAATTGCCTTTTCAATAGCCATAACTATAATAGCAGACCTACAAACATGACAAAAAAGTAAGTATATATATCTTAATAGCACAACATTTATATGACATAGTCAACACTTTCATAAATACAACATCACATATTTGACTTAACAAATCCATAATGAATTACTATAATGAATTACCATTCATGCAAGAACTTTCAAACATGTACCATATGTTTCCATCACAAATATATTTAACATGTTTTAACTTTACACTAGATATGCAAACAATTGGTGACAAACATAAAATTACTTTGACAGCATAACTTTTGTATAACATATGTCAGCCGTTTCATAAATACAACATCACACATTTCACATAACATATACACATCAAATTTACTTCTACACTATTATAATACTTTACCATTCATGCATCCATTTTCTAACATGTGCCATAACAAATGTATATAACATACTACAATTGTACACTACATATGCAAATAATTGGTGGAAAACATAATTTTCTAATCACAGTAAAAGATTTATACAATATCACATATATTACCTAACATATCCACATAAAATTTACTTCTACACTATTATAATGCATTACCATTTATACAAGCACTTTCTAACATGTACAATATGTTGGCAAATCAAATATATCTAACATATTTCAAATGTCCACTAGATATACAAACAATTGGTGGTAAACATAATTTTATATTCAAAGTATAAGTTTTCTATAACATATATCAACATTCAGAAATAAAATATCACATCTTTCACCTAACCTATGCACTGAAAATTTAATTCTACACTACTATAATGCATTAACATTGACACAAGAACTTTGTAACATGTGGCATATTGTAACGACCCAGGTTTTATTCAACCCGGTGCGTCAATGGTGACCCGAAAGTGACTCAGTAACGGATCCAGATGCGGAAGCAAGAAACAAGAAAATGGTCTCTCAAGGCACAACACACCTCTAAGACCCTAAGATGACCTTCCATGAGGTCTCGAAACTCAAAGAAACAACATGTGAAGGCAAAACATCGGAAGAATAATTAAGCCCTAGGGGCAAAGTAGTCATTTTGGAAAGTATGGATTCAAGTGCCACCAAGCACACCACTGGAAGTACAATGAAAAACTAATCAAGATGGACTCAAGAATCACATGATTCGGAGTCCGATCGAAGGAGAAACGACAGGATAAAGAAGAGTGGGCCAAACCCGTTAATGAAGGGCAAAATAGTCAATTTGCAACTAAGAAGAGAAATTTGTGTCCAAACAAGTCAAATGAGGTCTACACAACCTAAACTAATCATTTCACAACATTTCAAAAGGTTCTAAGAACTTTGGACATGAATCCCACGAAATGCCCTTTCCCGGTTCGAACCAAATTCTGACACTACTTCACTAAAACATGAATAACTCTTAGTGTGATTTGAATCTAAGAATAGAATTGGTACCATTAGAAATCTAGCTCAAAATCCATGAATTTAGGCTCAAGAATCACCTAATTTGGGTTAGAAATGAAGGAGATATGGTCGTTCGAAGTCCGAACAACAGTGTTGAAACAAAATCTGGTGGGCAACTAAATGTGGGCTCTTTCGGTCGACCGACTTTGAGTTTCAGTCAGCTGAAACTCATCAAAACTTTCTTGAAATCATGTTTTTGAGGCTAGGCTAGTTTAGTAGACCGAATTGAGCCATCGGTCGACCGAAATAGAGTTTCGGTTGACCGAAACTCTGTTCGGTCAACCGAAACTCCTCGAAAACTGCTGGAAGCTCTACAAAACATGTGAGATTTGCAAGGGGACCTATGGGGTTCATTCTATCCACATGCATGGGTCAAAAACTGATTCTTTTAAGGAGAATTGAGCATGTGAGCATGCACGTAAGTGTAAAATGGTACTTAAGACGTATCCTGATAGTCCACGGCCTCAAAATAATCGCAATGCAAATTATGACCTCTTAACGGTCAAAAATGACTTAAAATGCAATAAATGAAACCAAAATGCAAAACCTAGAATGAAATGGTGTTTGGCCCTTGGCCACACCTCATACATGATCATGGAGACCCTATGAAATAAAAAGAATGGAATTCCCACATCCGATGCAACCATGGCCAAACAATGACTTAACATTATTCAATATTTTCATCATAAACCTTTGAAGCAAAAGTGCATAGAATACATGTAAGATGCCATTGGCCTATGGCCTCAACTCATACATGTCAAATACATTGTAAATAGTGTACTTATGTACACATTACATAAATGGAATCAAATATACAATTTTTGATATACAAGACTACAAAAAAGACATTTCATGCCAACATTTGCAGGAAATGGAACTTAAAAGCTATAAGTCATCCCAATGAATGGTGAGCATCACGAACCAAGTCTTCGTACCTAAAACAGCCCCCCAGTAACTTCGGGGTGAGTAAAAAAGTTTTCTCGTAGAGAATGAGCATGCATCTACTCGATTTCTCTCAAATTTTTAGACTAACATGATACAGTTCAAAAGGGTCATGCCACCTAACGTCTATGTCAAACTGAGACTCAGGGATCATCCTAAGCTACCATAGAGTATAAGAAACAAGAATCATGATATATATACATATATGAAACAAGTTAAAGTTGGGATAATCCAAGAATACGATAAGAAGGATACTAGAATACAAGGATCAAGTTGTCAAGGAAATTTACATAATTGGAACATTCTAATTAACACGATAGGAGTAATACACGAAATCAAGAACATGGCATAATATCTATGCAATTTAACAAGGTTGGAACATTCCAATTAACAAGACAAGAAAAGTACAATAAATCAAGGATAATACATAATATCTATGCAATTTAACAGGGATGGAACATTCCATATAACACTAAAAGAGTCTTAAATCTTTAAGGAATACCACACTTGAAATTGAAAGAGAAGGATCACAATTGAAGCATAAAATCTATGCAAAGAAACATGATTGGAGCAATTCACATACACGATAAGGTTTAAATCTTCAAGGAATAGCAACTTGAAATTTAAAGAGTGAAATCAACCAATGTGGAAACTCGGATATCGCCCGGATTAAAACCGTACTCTTGAGATCACTTTAGGGCTACTAACCTATGGGTACCTTTCTCTTAGTGCACACTATAGTGTAGGAGGACATTCCCCCGTACTAGAACCAAGTCCTAGCCATGTCAATTCTTGATTGATATCCCAAGTCCCAAAATCAACAAGTTGTGCAAGTCAAGATTGTATCAAATATAATAAATGCATTAACCACATTTCATGCACAACCAAGATTTTGGAACACACAAGTCATGCCCTAAGTTCTCAACTATGATGGCATATGAAATGTCAAGAAATCATAGGGTACGTTACATAGATTAGAACTAAGATATATAGCACAAGAAGTCCATTGAAGTAAATATACCTCGAGTATAAGATACATGATAAAAAGCCAAAAGCTACACCAAAGACAAGTCCAATTCATGAGTTTAACAAGGATTCAATATCAAGGCATAGTTAACTCGATAGAAGCATAAATGAAAATTTAATCTACTTAAGGGATTAAATTATCAGGATTACTATGCAAGTCTAAATGTTCTATGAACAAGTTATGTCAAGGATCATGTCAAGGCCAAGTTCAATGTCAAGTTACAAGTTCATTACATACACGACACAACCATGTGAGTTATGTTCCATACAAAGGAAATAATATAATATAAGTCTCAAAACTTATCCGGTTATTCTCAAATTGATACACGTGAAGGAACATGTCAAGGAAATCATGAATACCAAGCCAGTGACTTAAACATGCTCATGGAACCATTGAATGGATTTTAATTAATTCATTCAATTAAAATCTCTAGATTTTGAAACTCGTCCAAATGATCTCAATTTAAAGTATGTTATACAACATGTCAAGATTTGATTCAAAAACATGACACAAGTGAATTCTAAGTAAGACACGGCCATGAGTATTAAACTTTAATACTAGAAAAATTATAAATGAGAAGTTTCAAAACTTAATCAAATATTCTAGATTTAATGTATGTGAGAGTATATGACATACATATTAAGAATATCAAGTCGGAATTCAATTGGAGTGAATAGTACATATGGAAAAAATTAATTAATCAAATTAATTAAATATTACTAGATTTCAAACAACTCCGATTACTCTCAAATTAACCTATGTTAAAGAGCATGCTAGGGCCTAATATAATATGCTAACACATATTGATTTCAAGCCACCTAAGGCCACATGATTTAATCTTTTATTCAAGATAAATATTAAATAAAATCTTCGTTATTTGTCCAAATGATCTAGATTTAATATATGTCAATCAACATATCAAGGGGTAATATTCTACCATACCACATGTTTAAAACAAACTATGGACAACCGGGAAAATCAAATCTCATTCAAGAAAATTGAATAATAAAATCTCTAGATTTTATATTTAAGCATGTAAACAAGTTGTATTAGCATCAATATCATCTTATATAACAAGAATATAAATTATAACACCCCATACCTTGATTTGAGATGAAAATCTCAAAAGCCTACCGAGAGAAAAGTGCTTCGAATCCATACCGAAGGGTTTTTTCGGCGACAACACGATGAACAAGAATCCCCATGAAAATCCAAACTTGAACTTGAAATCCAAACTCAAATGTGGTCAGAAATGGATTCCAATAAGGGTGAAAGATAGAGCACGACGAGGGGAACAATAAACGTTAAGTCGGAAGACTTTTCACCAAGGAAAAGGAATTCAAAAGAGGAGAGAGAAGGTGGCAGCCATGGCTGCCATGGAATCCGGCCAAGAGAGAGGAAAGAGATAGAGAAATCTGATATTTTCTCTTAAGTCACCCTATTTATAGAAAACCCAAAAAGTGCCCCGCCGGGTCCGGAAAAGTGAAATTTGAGCAAACGCGCTCAAACGGCAAAACTCCATGAACGAAAAAGATTCAAAATGAGAAAAAATGAACAATGGAGGAAATGGCGTCAAAAACTGAATCCCGAGCAAAG